TGTTTAGCTCTACTCCCACCTCAGTGGGAGAGTAGCAAACACTCTCCTGGAGATCAGAATCATTTTCTTTTCGGCCTCACTTAGCACAGACATACCAACACTCTGTACTCCTCTAGCAACAAAGTGAGCTATGAGAAGGCATCCGTGGGAGACCAAGGCTGGTAGTCAAGCAAAGGCATGGTGCTCACCACTGTGGCCAAGACGAAACCCAATGCAACGCTGCATTTCAGTCAGGAAAAGGATAAATGGCCTCCACAGCTCACCCATCTCAGTAACCCAGGCCAGCACTAACCTGTGGCAAACCTGCACCTACGACAGCACCACTGTGGATCATTGGACCCTCCTTCCCAACAAAAAGACCTGGAAAAACAGGACTGATGAGACAGCATGCTCCCCACCCTCTCCCCTGCTGACGATGGCAGAAGAGATCAGCTCACCACTCCCATGGCATAGCACGACCTCCCTGTACCAGGCCATAAATGTATGTCGGTAGCTTCCAAAACCTCAGCTGAGTTCAGGCAGCTATGCCCTCTCCTCTCAAGGTGAAGGGAGCTGCTGGCCCGTGTCCCCCCCAGATGTTTGTGAACAGACTTGCACAGACTTTGCACTCCAAGTGGGTGGAAATATTCAAAAACTGTTGTTTCAAGGACTCTGAACTCTCCAGGTTACCATGCCCTTCTGGCTACAACACAGCCTTCAGGTCATTCTACATAATGCGTTCTCGATAATTCTCAGGTCTCCTTCTTGGACTGAGCCATGAAGAGCCACTTCTGACTAGACCACTTAGAAAAGATATTTGTTCCCCTGATAGTCCCAGTCCTTCTGTCTTATCTGCTTTTCTACTCCCTGTATGTATCCAAGGTTCACACCCTGCTCTCCAGCCCAAAATGATTTCACTGGAACGAAAGAGAAACTTTCCATGCCCTTCCCCTTCATTTCTCCCCCTTCGGTGATTCCTTACCCCAAAGAGATGAAGACACTGCAGCACTTCTTACCTCCTGCCACGCTGAAGAGCACTCCCATAGCTTTGCACACCACTGTCCGGAGCCGCACAACCCCTGGAACTTTTACCCCATTGAGGTAGCACTTAATTTCAGGAATTCCTGATCCAGCTGCCACAGGCTGCAGAAAGGAAAACACTGACACTGTGTTGCATTGACTCCATAGCAGGCTGACAATATCTCGGTCAGAGAGCACAGCAAGGGAATGAGACACACTGTTTAGCTAAATCAGTTAGCACTCTGAAGTTGGTACGATGCCTTCAGGCAGTAAGTGCTATGGACGAGAAGGAAACTTCATGTCCAGGACCACATGAAAGCAAATGAAGCTTGTGAAGAGCAGCAGTGAACTTAAATCTTACTTGGATGAGGACCAGAAGACTTGCGAGAAAAACAAAGGTCAGGTTGAACCCCAGCAGCTCCAGCAAAGACAGGGCAAGACAGCCTTTCTCTGTGCATTCTTCCACTGCTGCAGAGAGGTCAAGGAAAGCAACAATGTTCTCCCACCAACACAATCATTTTGTACTCTCTGGGGGTCCCACTGGCATCAGGAGCCAAATTTGTGCTTTCTACTCCAGGCAGGACAGATGACAACCCATCAACAAGACAGGTCTCCTTTTCAGAGCTCAGAGTTAACGTACAAGGAAGAGAAACCACTCATTCTTTTAGGGATTAGCCTTTGCCCATATATTGATATTCAAACCACTTCCTTGGTTTCGAGAGCTGAATTACATAAGCAAGTTGAAAACAATGTGAGTGACAGCAGACATCTACGAGTCAGCTGTTCTGAGCAACAGAAAGAAAAAGGTCACTCAAGTCTACCAGGACACCATATGCTAAGTAAAAGATACAGCTTTGTACTACCCGGAACTTGAGCTGGGTAAAGAGTCGCACGAAGAAATCCACAAAGAGGCCCACCTATGAAAAAAAAGACAGACCTGTCATCAGAAACTACTACATACATGTACCAAAGACCACTTTGTAGCAAGCCCTACCATGAGTACGCATGAGGGAGGACAAAGGATAAGGAAAGCAAAAGCATTGTTCCGAATAAAGTAGCTTACAAAGCTCAGATTTTCTGCCTCCCTTGTTCTCCCTTGGACAGATCCATCCCAGAATTATTCCTGAACAGATATACTTCAGAATATTCAAATGGTAGATTTTTTTTTATTTTTTTTTTTTAAACACCAACAACATACTTCAGGGTACCAAAAAAAGCTAACTTTAACTGAGGCATACAGCCAGCAAAGCTAGTTTTCAAGCATGTACAGTGAAGAAAGTATTGCCAAATGTAACAAATAAAGCTCAACTATAAACTGGCATCCTGTTTGATTAACGCTAACTTTGGACAAGTTTTCCTGTACACAGAATTAAAGAATTTGCCAGAATACTTTACACAGAAAACACAGCAAGATGTAAAAAGAAAGCAAAAAAAGTCTTCTCAGAAAATCATCTACCTGCAACATGCCGTAATTCCCCAAAGCCCCCTCCAACTCCTAAGCTCTTGACTTCATGACAGTGAATGGTATCTCCTCTTTTCTCTTTTGCTGTTGACTTCTAAATTATTCCTGCCTAGTGTCCTGAAGTGTCTTCATTCCCCAAACAGCATGACACTTACTAGTCCTGTGCAGACTCCAATGGCGAAAACCATCACCCATTTCACTGCTTCATATTTCCGTGCTTTCTGTGTAAGAACAGGATTTTTAAGAAGCCAAGTCAAAGCGACATACAAATAGAAACCAGACAAAGGTGGATTTGGGCTCCACAGGTAAATAGCAGCTATAGTGATAAATTAACAGAAGATAGTGACAACAGCAAACTGAAAACAGAGAGATGGAAGCGCTTAACACCTCATTCACTTTGAAAGTGAGGTACAGAACAGATGCTAGGAGCTACAATCTCTATGCTTATTTTTACTCTTTTCATCAAAAAAATGAGAGAAATCCTACCATAAAGAAGAAAAAAAACAAACTTCCCATAGTGGAAGGTATTTCTACAGCTTTAGCTCTCAAGCTACTGAAAGAAAAAAAAATCTTACCTTGTTGTCCATGCTCTCCAAAACTTCCAGGTATGGGTCATTGATACAGCGATCATAATCCAAGCTCTGGAAGAATGCCAAAAGGTCAATGAGAATCACCTGCTACAGATTGTGCAAAATGCTATGGACAGAAGGCCTTGTTAAAGATTACAGAAATCATTACAACCCCACAGCAGGTTTGGCAAACTATTGTAGGAGAAAAACTACCGTAAACAACTTCATTTAAGTATTTCCAGTAGAGGCAGAGTCGGAGAATTGGGAAGTGAAAGAACAGACCAAATTCACTGCCAAAGATGAGACAGAACTAAACCAGTGATTAATACAACTTTAAGTTAAAGTCACAAGATACAGATTTAGACTTAAAGCATGGCCAATTTGACAGCAGATAACATGAAATCTAATTCTTCACTACAGCAGGAACACTAGAAACAAGTTCCCTTCTAGACAGGCAGCACCAGTTCTTAACCTTACCACAGGAGAAAATTAAAAGTAATAACTGTCCCACTGTAAGCACAAAGTACTGTTGGCTTTTACCCACATCAGCTTCCCCTTTTCAAGCTGAACAGTAACAGGTTGATATTACAGTAAACAGCAACAGCTTGGTGACACCCATGCTGAAAGCAACTGCTCTGAAAAGCTCAGGGCCACAACACAGACACATAAAAATTAAGTCTTCTGTAAGAATCAGTATGTGATAGATAAGATCTGCTTTGAGCCAGCATGACACCACAGACAGCAGTAAAACAACAGTGACCAACTAGTTACAGATGCTTTTTTACGGTCATGATGACATAAGACCACAAGAGCCAGTAAAGTCACGTTAAAACAGGGGAGCAACGTAACAGATTCAGAAAATGCATTTTCTCAATAGGAGTCTGACTTGGGCAGCAAACATTTAAGCTCTACTCAGAGCACTGGGCATTAATCTACAAATGCTGCATCAAACTATGAGCAACATGTCTTTGCAGGCACAGCAGCTCCTGATATTTCTGTTGGTGTCAATACAACCTAGCTACAGTGATGCAAGTTGAGTGCCTACCCCCTTTAAATTAACGCAGATATAAACCTGTCTGTAGCTCTCTCCCCCTTAGTTCCACAAGCTGGTATCAGTTAACTTCCCACCTCGTAGTCTTTGCGTGGAAGGATCTCATCTTCCTCTTCATGAGTTTCTCCTAGGATCGTCTACGAAACAAAGAACATGGGAATGAGAAAACATCAGGGGAACGAATGCATATGCTGGTGCTCACAAACACTGGTAGCAAAGCCAAAATCAGGGAAGGCTTACCCCACTGATACTTATAAAGTTGGAGCACGAGTTACCAGACCACCACTTACATGGGGGTGACTGTATGTTGGGCCTTACCTTAAAGCTTGCCCTTCAGCGCAAATATATTACGTTACTACGCTGTGAAGGACTGCCGTGGGGAGGTAAAGCAGCGTGCCAAACCCGTCCCCCCCTTCCTTCACACCAACAAGGGAGTACAGGACAAGATACTTGCATGGGCAGCATCACCCCGCCCTGAGCAGCTGGGCACTGCCCCGGCACCCTGTCCCCCAGCAGGAGCAGTGCCGGGCCGGGCAGGACGAGCCCTGAGACGGGCAGGAGGCGCGGCACCGCCTCAGGCACCAGGCCTGACAGGAGCGGGGGCCAACCGACAACAACGGTGCTTTGGGGGACCGGGACAGCGATGGCTGCGGCACCAGCGGCCGAAGCGGGGATCCCCACAGACTCCAGGGAGGGGCAGCGGCCGTACCAGCTCCTCAGGGGTGCGGCTCTCCCTCTCCCCACAGCAGCGCGGGCAGCAGCAGCAGCACAGCCCCCCGCCGCACCCCGCCATCTTGGCCCGCCGCCGCCCCTCTCCCGGCACCCCCCGCGCCAACCCCCTCCCTCCCTCTCCACCACGTGACCCCCGCGGCGGCAGCTGGTTGGATGGGGGAATAGGGAGAGAAAGGGAGGGGAGCGAAGTGAAGCCGCGGCGCCATGTTGGGTAAGGGAAAGCGCCGGGCAGCACGTGACCGCCGGCCCCGCTTAAAGCGCCGCGGGATGGGGCCGCAGCGCCCGGCCCCGCCGCCAGGTGAGCGGGGCCCTGGGGACGGGGGGGGCCGGCTCGTTCCGCCCCTATAGGGGCCGTGCTGCCCTTTTAGGGGGCGTCCCGCCGGGCTCAGCAGCTTTAGGGCTGCCCCCACGCACGGCTCGGTGCCTCGGAGCCCTGCGGGTTTGCGCGCGTGGGGCCCCCGCAGGCGCTGCGGAGCTCTGGGGGGGGTCAGCTCCGGGCTGTAGGGTGGGAAATGTCCTGAGGGGAGGTAAAGGGGTGCCACGGGGATGGGGTAAACGCGGCTGGTGGAGCCGTGCTGCGCCGCGGATCCCTGCCCCGAGCCCAGCCCGTGGCAGAGGGGTCACTGGGGAGCGCTGCCCCCCAGCTGCTGGCGTTTCCCCCCGTCTTGTGTGTGCTACGACTGCCTTTGCTGCTTACTGAGGGGTTTTTTTCTCTTTACGACAGCTGTGAGTTTCTCCGAGCAGGTCCCTGATGCGCTGTTCCCAAGGCTGCTTGTAGATAACGCTTTAAGCGTTTCTATTGTCTTTGTGGTTCTAGATTGCTGCCGAGATAAGGAGATTTCCTCCAGAGAAAGCCTCGCTGTGTAGAGGCGTTACTGAGCAAACCTTACTGAGCAAACCTTCCTGCGTGCTGCATTGCAAGTAGCAGAACCAAGGTCTTTGATTTACCTGAGGGGTTGTAGCTTGTTCCTCTCAGTTCTGACCCGCTAGCTTGATCGCCACCGTGTGCTTTGAGATAATTCCCTAGATTAGTGCCACGTGGGTGCCAGGCGTGTTTATTTTGAAAGAGCTTGTGGGCAGGTTGTTAACAGTGTGCCAGAGGTTGCTTTTGGAGCTGTCGGTAGCTGCTGGTTTTATTGTGACCTGCTGTGTTGGTACACAAGAGATTTGAGACTCCAGGTTTCTCTTGGCCCCAGGAACCCTGCACTCCTTTCTCTGATCTCCTGCCAGCTGGAGAGGTCCCCAGGTGGTAAAAGTAGACTTTCTCCCAAAGGGTTTTTGCTTGGTTGCCAGCTTAGTGTAAACAGTAGAAAAAAAGTTCAAAGTCTGCTTGGATGACCCAGACCCTCAGAGTTCCTGTAAGGACAAAATGTGCATTAGATTGTGCAACAATTTCCTCCAAAATAGCCTCCGATGTCACTGGGAAACAGCAGGCTGTCATTACATAACAAGTCTAAGCTTTGACTTGGATAAGCAAACAATGCGGATCCAAACTTTATGGCAGCTCTTATCTAATTAGCTGTAATCACTACCTCATTTTCAAGGCATCGGGTGAAACACTTCTGGGAGCAAATATCAAGCAGTTATGGCCCAGGGAGCTAAATGGAGTTGGGTGTCCTAGACCCACTTGTACTTGCAGTGCTGTTTTCCTTTCTGTAAAGCCAAACAAGTACAGCTGATCGTTTCACAAGGCAGAGAAGAAAGCAGTGGTCTCTGTTGACCTTGTTTCCAAGCAGCCACAATCAGTGAGGAAAGGAACGTGCTCACGTTCCTCGTGAAGGAAATAGCTGAGTGTGTGCGGTGACAAATGCCTGTGGAAAAGATGTGTCTAGTGGAGAATGACTAAAGCTTAGAAATGCAACAGGCTGCCCATAAAGACAAAACAAAAGGCAGAATTTGTCAGGATGCCCTGTTCCAGACTGGATTCTTCTTTTTTTCCTGACGGAGGAATAGTTTGTGCATTCTTGTCTACCTGCCACGTGAGCACTTGCCCTTATTGTAAAGAAACACCGACTTTTGGGAGCAAACAGATGGGATTTTGTGAAGATGGATACAGTCCAAGGAGCAGCTGAAAAAGTCTGCTGGCATGTCCAGCCCAAGACCACAAGATCAAAGATGACCTCAACTGATGCACGTGGGCATCGTGGCTTGTTAAGGTGTAGCCAGGACAAAAGTGATGTTGACCTGATTGTTCTGAGAACCAAATCTGACCCAGCAGGCACAGAAGAGGTGCATCAGGGTGGCACGAAGCCAACTGCTCTGTTTATTTCCTTCCAGCACGCTCTAAATTGATTGTTTTCATTTTGTGTTTTCAGCAGAACCCCCACTGCAGCTTACAGAGAGGGCTAGCAAAAGAAGCCGATTGATGATTAACGATGGTCTTGGCATAACCTTCCTTTTACCTGCTGCCATCTACTGCCCACCCCAGCGCTAACTCCTAGCAGAGATCTATCCTGCCTTATACACACCGTGCTCCTTGTGTTCCCCTCCTCCAGAGAGCTCACCATGGTCAATGAGACCCAGCATACCTGCAGTGCCAGCTCCAGCTCCAAGTCCGATGGCGGCAGCAGCAGCGGGAGCGAGAGCTCCAAGGACAGCTCGCGCTGCTCCACCCCCGTGCTCGATGCCGAGCGTCATGAGCGACTGCGGGAGAAGATGCGCCGCCGGCAGGACTCTGGAGACAGGTGGTTCTCCTTGGAGTTCTTCCCTCCACGCACAGCCAATGCTGCGGTCAATCTCATCTCCAGGTGAGGGCTGCGGGGTGGGAGAGGGGACAGATGAAGTGTCTTTGGTGGAGGGCTGGGAAAAAGCTAATGAGGCAGGCTCTGCCCCGTGCTCTGTCTCCCCTTTCAGGTGACGAAGCAGGTAATGGGGCTGTGCTTTCCTGCTGAGGAGGGTAATGGACACCAGGTAATTTATCTTCCTTGGAGGCCCTGAAGAGTTAAGTGTCGTAGCGGGGTTATTGAGGGTGCCAGACTGTTCTCCCTCCTCTCACAAGCTCTGAAGATGGGACACAGCCACTGTCATGCTCAAGCAAAGTACTAGGGCACAACAGAGCAGACAAGTACCTATTTAAAACAGAAAATACTATTTTATGGGCAGTGTGTGCAAGTCTCTGGAAAGATTGCTTTCACAATCATCCAGGTGCTGTGGTTTGTGCCTCTGTATTACTAAGGACTACAGTTTTAGTCTGAGAGTGGTGTCCCCATCTACATGCTAAATGAACTGTTGTAGTTTCCACCAGCGCTTAAGGTTCTCCTGGAGCCTAAGCCCCAGGAGCCACCATGCGCTCAACCTGGAGAAGTTTATAATTTTCTGTTACTGCTGTATGCCACTGCCAGGTCTACTTTAAACAGAAGCTTGTGTTCTGGCCTGGAGCAGGAGAGCAACAAGGTAGGGGGGCAACAAGCTAGGGGTGCCTTTGTCTTTTCCATTAGGCACGCTTGGGAACACACAGAGATCTGGTCCATCTTTCCATATTTGTGGCCTGTATGAGTTACAGCTGGGAACAGAAGGTTCTGGCATAGCCTTCCATCTCAAAAGGAATGTCTATCAGATTTATCAGTCTAACAGAGCATGCTGAGAGGAAATTTATTCTACAGAGACAACTCAGCTTGTTTCTTCAAGAGTTTCTAAGCCCTTCCTCATACAGTGTTAAATGATGCCTATCCTTAGCAAGTGGCCAATGTGAATAAACTCTTGGCTCAACACTTTTCTTTGTCTCTCCTACTGCTGTCATCCAAGCTTTCTCTGCTTGTTGATGGCATTCCAGCAGTGAGCAAGATATCCCTGGCATAAAGAAGGGAGTCTGCTTACCTGGTAAGGTAACACACCTCTAAAATCCACAGGTTTGACCGCATGGGAGCAGGTGGTCCGCTCTTCATTGATGTGACATGGCATCCTGCAGGGGACCCAGGGTCTGACAAGGAAACGTCTTCCATGATTATTGCCAACACTGCAGTCAACTACTGCGGCCTGGAGACCATCCTGCACATGACATGCTGCAACCAGACCAAGGATGACATCACAGGGCATCTGCAGAAGGCCAAGCGGCTGGGGTTGAAGAACATCATGGCATTGCGTGGAGGTGAATCCTTTTGTTCTAGAGCACTTAAAATGCATAGTGCTGAGGTTGTGTTGCTGCTGCATTCAACTTCTGGGTAAAATGAAGAAATAACAGCTGGAGGAACTGGGTTTATTTTCTTTCCAGATCCTGCTGGTGAGGAATGGGAGGAAGAAGTAGATGGATTCAACTATGCTGTGGACTTGGTTAAGCACATTCGCAATGAATTTGACGATTATTTTGACATCTGTGTGGCAGGTATATATCTTCCATTGCAGAGTGTGAGGTAGGGTCTGAGATGGGGATATCAGCCCAGCAGTCCTTCTCTGGACCTGGGGTGTAAATGACAGCACAATCACATTGGCTACTTTTAATTTCTATTGCATTGTCTTGACCATCAGGGTTTGGCTTTTTTTTTTTTTTCTTCCCCTCTTCCAAAGGCTACCCAAAGGGCCATCCTGAAGCAGAGAGCTATGAATCAGACCTGAAGCACCTCAAGGAGAAAGTTCTTGCTGGGGCAGACTTCATCATTACGCAGCTTTTTTTCCGCTCAGAAACCTTTATCAAGTTCATGAAGGACTGTCAAGCCATTGGCATCACCTGCCCCATTATTCCTGGCATCTTCCCCATACAGGTTAAATCTAATAATTCTGGTTTGGGAAGGCAATAAGAACGTTAGGTGTTTTTGGGGTCAGGGCCTAAGAGAGGTCTGTAAATACCCTTCAAAACTTTCCGGGAAGTGAGGGTTCTAAATGTGATAGATCTGTAGGTGGTTCGCCAAATTAAAGTCGTGGGCATAAGCTTAAAAGGTTTTCTGTGTCCATATAGTAAAGAGGGATATAAAGGACAACGGCCTACTATTCTTGAGTTGTTAGTTATCAGCATGCTGGGCTCAGGCACTGAGCAGAGAAATGTGAAGAAGTAACCTCAACAATAACCTCAGTTGACATAACCAGGCTGTGTTACCATCTCAGGGATGAGGCCCTGGGAGCACAAAATCCAGAAGCCCCAATTTTAAGTCTCCTGCTACACAATTGAGATGAAATACCTTTGTTACTGGGACATCAGAAAAGGGTGTGGAAAGACTGAAATCCTCTGTATCCTCATCCAGGGTTACCACTCCCTGCGCCAGCTGGTGAAGCTCTCCAAGCTGGAAGTGCCTCAAGAAATCAAAGATGTGATCGAACCCATCAAGGATAACGATGCGGCTATCCGGAACTATGGGGTAGAGCTGGCAGTGTCCATGTGCCGGGAGCTGCTGGACAGTGGCATGGTGCATGGGCTCCATTTTTACACCCTCAATCGGGAAGTGGCTACTACTGAAGTCCTTAAGCGTCTCGGCCTTTGGAAGGAGGACCCCAGGTGAGCTGAGTATGCTGGCTTCTTTTAGTTCATCTTACACATTCCATCTGCTGAAGGCACAAGCGGTGGGTGGGTTGGCATCTCTTTTCTGCTGTTTTCAAGTATCTTTCTGCATTTGGAAATTCACCCTTCCTGCAGGTCTCTGACAAAAGCTGGGAGAATAGAGCAGGCAGCTGACAGAAGAATTTTGATCATGTGGCTTTAAAGTAGCCTGTTCTGGAACTTTAAAACCTAAACTTTAAGGGCTGCCACTTGGAAAAAACATTCTTTTTAAAGACTCCCAATACTCCTCCTGAAGGCTAGGTGCTTTGTAAGCTTCCACTGTGGATTTCTGGGTGCTCTACAGCTGAGATAGGGAATGGGTTCTCTGAGTCCACAGGCAAGAGAAAGGAAAAGAAAAGGGTTAACTTTTCTTGTTAAAAATAGCTCTATACAGTGCTTTTCCCTTACCTCATCCTATCTCAGGTGTTAGTTCTGCGTTTAACAGACACCTACCCAGCATCTGTGAGGGAACTGAGTGGGAAAAGATTTTGCATAAAGCAAGAAGAGGTTTATTCTACTTTTTGACAAATAGAATTCTTCTCATCCCCTGTTCTTTGCTCTCTCCATGGGCCAATTCTCCAGGACAATCAACAGATCTTCAGCTTCCATTTTTTCTGTGCAGGCGGCCTCTGCCCTGGGCAGTCAGCGCTCACCCCAAGAGAAGAGTTGAGGATGTTCGGCCAATCTTCTGGGCCTCCAGGCCAAAGAGCTACATCTATCGAACTCAAGAATGGGATGATTTCCCTAACGGCCGATGGTAAGCTGTTAGCCTATAATGGCAGGGAGGTAGAGGTGTGGTACTGAACAGTTGGTCCTTGTAGTTGGTGTCCTAGGCACGCTTTGGGCCTGGCAGATGAGATGTTTTCTTAACAAAGCAGTCCCCAGTTGCTTGGATTTGAATGAGGTGAAGAGAACGGCATCAAGACGTTGAGGCTTCTGGTCTGTAGGTGGCTGCTTCTCTTCCTGGGTGGCTGTGTTCCTGCATCACCACATTGGTGCATCTTCCTAAGTGGCCTCTTAATCTTTCATCTGTTCTGCTTACAGGGGTAATTCCTCCTCTCCAGCCTTTGGGGAGCTGAAGGACTATTATCTCTTCTACCTGAAGAGCAAGTCTCCCCGGGAGGAGCTTCTGAAGATGTGGGGAGAAGAACTGACGTGTGAGGAAAGCGTTTTTGAGGTTTTCACGTGTTACATCAGTGGAGAGCCCAACAAGAATGGACACAAGGTGAGTGATGACCCAGCGCCAACGTGGCACAGACAACAGAACTTACTTCCTCTTGTTCCTGGTATCACATTGTTCTTCTAAACAAGAATTGGCACTTTTCTACCTAAAAGGACTTGCTGAGAAGGGGGCTAAAGTTCATACCTTTACCACAGGCAATCCAGGAGCCAGAGCTAGGGCTCAACATAAAAGGGCACAGTAGGACAAGACAGACAGGTCTGCACTGACTATGGAAATCATTCTTAAAGTTGAGAATACCCTGCCCCTTGAAACAAACATGGGGATTCTGTCCTCAGGCAGAAGTGTTCAAGACCACTAGGGCACTTCTGAATTCCTTCAGTGCCCAGCTGCTAAACAAAAGGGATTGTTGCACATATTGAGCCATCCTCTCTCCTCACGGTAGGTTACATGTATGCCTTGGAATGATGACCCTCTTGCTACTGAAACCAACCTTCTGAAGGAGCAGCTGGAGAAGGTGAACAGACGAGGAATTCTGACCATCAACTCTCAGCCAAACATCAATGGGAAACCATCCACTGATCCCATTGTAGGCTGGGGACCTAGCGGAGGTTATGTCTTCCAAAAGGTACTGCACTATTCTGGGCTAGGTTTGGTTTCAGTTCTATAGGGAGGTCCTAGGCTTTCACCCAAATAATACCTTTGCTGGTTCTTTATCCCAATGTCTTCTTGCTGAGGCAATGCAAAGCTCCTTTGGTGACTTGAGACAGATTATGTCAACTCTGTAGCTTACTAAGTGGTGTTTTCTCCCACTTAAAATAATTTATTGTTTTTACTGTTAGCAAGTAATTGGTGGTAACTACTTTTCCAGAGCAGAGCTATGAAGTTTTAGATAAAAATATGCCTGCACACTGCAGCTGATTTGGTTCAGTGATGCAGGAAGCAATCATTTTTTTTCAAATAATAGAAATCAATGAGGTAGTATCTCTACCATCCAGCTTCTCATGGTAGTAACAGGGTATTTAACTTTTCCATCTGTCCTTCTCTAAGGCAGAGTTTTCCACCAATTGCCCCTACCACAGCACTACTGCTGTGCTGTTCAGACAGCTGCTAGGTTACTTCTCTGGCCTGCAGGTAGTCTTATCTCCCTTGTCTGCCTCCTACTGTCATGCATTTTCAGGCCCTACAGCCTTGCCACTAATGGCTGTGATAGGAATCTCCTGTGTCAAGGTAAATGCCAGGCAAGTGGCCCATAGTAGGAAACAAAGCAGCTCTGTTCAAAAGGGATTCAAATTGCTGAAACCATGAAATGAGCAGATGGTAAATGCAGTTATGTTTCCAAAAAAAAAAAAAAGATTCCCCTGAGGTGAGGGGAAATCCATCATCTCACACAATAGCCAGGAAATGGGGGGAGGGGAAGCAGTTGTTGAGAGCAGCCAAGCACAGAACAGCAGTAGATAGGGCAACTACAGAATTAGATTGGATAAACTCGCAGGGAGGACTGGACAAAAGATGAGACAGGACAAAGGAGAGGGTGTGTTGGAGAGCCCAGCTGAGACCCCAGACTTCTGCTCCTGCTAGACTGGGTTGCCTTGGCCAGACACTGCCGTTCATGGGGGACCACACAGAACAGAAGTCCAGCTCAGGCCTCTTCCAAGCACTCTGGCACAGGCTGCTTTCCAGGCCCACCAGTTATTGTTACAGTGCCTAAAGCATATCCCAGCCTGTCTGCTCACACGCGTGCAGAACAAGAAGCTTGTAGCTTTCCTGAACTGGCTGCTCTTGGGCTGTTACCTCTGTTCTCCTTTTTTTATTTTTCCTCCCAACTCTTACTAATTTGGTTTGCCCTTTGCTCAAGTCTCCTTTGTAGTGCATGTTTCTGAAATGGACGTGCAAGTCTTAAGCTGCCTGGTTTCTAAGCAGCACGGTCTACAACCATTCTTTTGGTTGCCTCTATGTGTCCCAGCTCTGCCCTGAATTAAGGCTCTTACTCTTTCCTCTTCCACATCCCCACAGGCCTACCTAGAGTTCTTCACCTCCAATGAGATTGTCACGGCACTGCTCAAAGTTCTGAAGAAATACGAGTCGCGGGTCAACTACCACATTGTCAATGTCAAGGTAGGCTGCTGTTACAGGATACTTTCACCACCTTAGGAGAGAGGCAAATAGCAAAGATACAGACATCCCCAGGAACAAAGTGCAACATGAAGGGCAGGGGGAAGTGAAACAAGTCAGCTGTGACCCAAAGCAGCCATCTGATCTCTTAACAAGGACAGGATAAATGTACTTGCTGACTCACTCAATCCCTCCTCCAGCAGCTGCTTCAAAGGCTTTATTTTCTTTGCAGGGCCAGAATATCACCAATGCTCCTGATCTACAACCCAATGCTGTCACCTGGGGCATCTTCCCAGGCAGAGAGATCATCCAGCCGACTGTAGTGGATCCTGTAAGCTTCCTCTCCTGGAAGGTGAGTCCTTCCTGCTGCTGGATATGTTGTTGCGATACCCTGGAAATTCAGAGTGTCTGGCTTATTTTCAGTCTATAACACTTACTGCAATTGAGGACTGTTGTGACATTAGCTTGCTGTGGTCTAGATATCATTCCTCCTGCTCCCTTGGGGCATGTGGAGCTTTGCTCCAGTGAGAACTTTTCACAGAAACTGTACCCAGGGGCTGGGGAGTACATTGTTGCTGTAGTAGTCCCCAGAGCTCTGAGCAGTAGCTCTCCCTCCCCTCTTACACGCACAGGGGCAGTATTGAGCCATTTTACTGCAAGCGTGCCTCATTTCAGCTCTGAACAGTTATGCTTGGGGCACCTCCCACTGACAGGAAAGCAGGATGCTCCTTGCTCAGCTCTTGCCCTTTTTACTGAGAAGAAACCAGCCCCAGGCTTGCCGGGCATGTGTGATGCAGTTTTTCCCAAGTGAGGTAGAATAAAACATCTCTCTTTCCTTGGCAGGATGAGGCCTTTGCTCTGTGGATTGAGCAGTGGGCCAAGCTCTACGAAGAGGAGTCACCCTCTCGCATGATCATCCAGTACATCCATGACAACTATTACTTGGTCAACCTGGTGGACAATGACTTCCCACTTGAGAACTGCCTCTGGCAGGTTGTGGATGATACTTTTGAGCTCTTGAACTCTCCAACTCAGCAGTGAAAATCGTAATACCTACCTTATTTCTTCCATCCATTCACTGACTGCAGGGAGCCAAACAGCAGCTCCTGTTAGGATGGTGGACCATGCACTCCTAAACCCAGTGAGCACCTCTGCTCAGAGCCAGGCAAGCTTGCAGATATATACCCACACTACATGTTCTTCTATCCCCAACACAAATATTCCTTGACCTCCTCTCACTGAACAGCAGCCAGAACCCTCTGAACTTATGAGGTGAGGATCCAGCCTGAGCTTGAAGGCTAGTTCTGCAGGATGGAAAGGTGCTAATCACAGCTATGTTGATTATAGCATAGGAGAACTCCAGTGCACCAATGTGGCAAAACTTAGTGGGTTTCTGGTTAACATTTTCATCCCAGATACACTGCCTTGGGGGCAGAAACACTCCTGTCAGCAGTGCCTATGCAAGGAAAATATTTCAGTGGTTACCAGCCCTTCAAAGAAGCCCAAGCTGCTTTTATATTACACTCCGAAGATATACTGCATCATAACTGACAATATCTCTTTTGTGCTCACTCCAGAAAAACGGTTCAAATTTTCCCACTTTTCTACTTGCCTCTACTACAGTTCCTGTTTTTTAATAGGAATATATGAATTTCAATTCTGGATGAGACCAAATAGGAATCACATTATTTCAAGTGTAATAAACTACATGAATACAACTGTCTCTTGCACTAGACTAGATTCTTGTAAGCAGTCCAAAGAATAATGTTGTTTGCAAACTAATCACACTAGTACAAGGGAAACTTTTAAGAGAACAATTGGACCTGGGCCTATTCTGCTTCCATTTTCAACATGCCCTAAACAAAGTACGGACAAAGCTCTGGTAGAGCAAAGAAAACTTAAATCTTAAAATTCAGCGAACGCAACCAGCTATAGCCTCTGGCTCAGTTCTGCAAGGCCACAGGAGCTGTAGTCCTCCAGTACCAGTATGGAAAAACAACCTAATCTTCCTTGACCTAATGACGCTAGTAGCCTTAGGCCTCACAACATTGAAATGAGAGGCTGTGGGGGCTACACTGTGTCCTTAACAATCCTGCAAAGCTACCACAGGCTAGGAAAAACAAGACCCTGGGGCAGTTCCCAGTGGGATTTCAAGATCCCTGCCAAGCTGCAAGCATCTCTTTCAAACAAGCAAGGAAGAAAAGCCTTTTCCAAATTCTTTAGACCCTCTCATTACAGCTGTCTGAGACTGGGCTCATATATCCAGGGTAATTACAGGGCATCAATCACAGGAGCAAGTAATGGGAAGGTTGGGGGGTCAGACACGCCTGTCTTGCCTCAGCAAAGCTTTTGGTGCTCAGCTGTTCCCAGCAGGTTTCTTCATCCCTAGCCCATTCAGCACAGAAAGGAACCAGCAGGAAGCAGTCAAGAGGTTGGCCACCCACTGAAAGCCTTAATGAAGAGCTGATAGACTTGGGGAGGAGGTGGGGGCCATGGGGGAATTCCCCCACCTAGGGGAAGAGCCAAATCTAAAAATAAAGGCCTACATTCACACTGACAAAGGACAGGCCAAACTTTGCAAATGCTACATCCTGTAGAATCCAAAGGCACACTCCTGCTCACCTCTTTAAGACCGATGTGCTTGCTTGTTCCCATGCACAACACTAAGCTTCCATCTAGCAAAGAAAAAAAAAAAAAAGGAGCTCCTATAAGGTGTTTTTTGACCTTTAATCAGAACTCCAACAAAATCAGGGTCTAGAAGAGAAGGAGATGTAATCTCACAACAAAAGGGAGTAAGTTTAAGGTTGTGGCTGTAGGGAAGTACGGTATCAGTCCTTTAAAGAGGACCTTTCACTAGGTACCATTGGTTGTCCTTTGGCTATCACACTTCTTGCCTGCAGCACTGTTTTTACGTGAGTAGAGCGTTTGCTGCTTTCTTGATCGCAACGGCCCAGCTCTTTGTTGTGACAGCCAGCTGTATCCTCCGCTCCTGAAATGAGCAGCTGCAGACAGGCCCCCACCGTTCAGCAGTGTCCTTTGTCCTTGAGCTGGAATGCTGTTAGCTGGCGCCACCTTCCAAAGGCCTTAAATAGAGTGGACAAATTAAATGCTGAAGTTACCCATGAGGGAATCCAGCCACCCTCACAGCACCCATGAACACAGCTCTTCCTCTAGCAATGGCCATACCAAATACCTCACCATTCAAGGAGAGCCTCCCCCTGAACCCCTTGTGTTATTGTAGCCAACAAGGCAAGTGGAGAGCACAAATCAATGGGACAATGCCCTCTGTTTCAGTACTTGCTCATTTTGTTAAAGGAAGACTTAATCCTGCATGGATCTTCTGGAAGCAGAGGAGGGAACTGGCTATTTCAGATCTTGGGCTTTGCCTGCTCACCCAAATTTATAGCTATTTGCCTGACCCTGGGTGCAAGTCACCACAGCCCTCCTGCAACAACATGGAGCCTGTTTCTTCCCTGAGTGGACTCTTGAGAAGCAGGGGATTAGTGGATTAACATCTGATAACACTGGGGAAGGGGCACATGTCAGGGAAATTGACTGCTGGCACAAAGCTGTGACTAACAACCAAAGATGAACCCAGATAAAGCTGGAAGCTATTTCCCTTTGTTAAGGACAAGCCCCATCTCTTGATGTATTCAACTTCTCCTTACAAAAGTGCTTTGTCTAAGGGGAGAGATACAGGGAACACCAGTTGTCCCTTTGGGGTGCTTGTTGGTCAGTCACAGAGCCTGTCACCTTCCACATTTTGGTTCCTTGCTAAAGGCACAAACCCAGCCACAGACTAAGAGGAAGCTGTTTCCCACAGAACAAAATGTCATGAGTGTCTAGGATTTGGTTCACATTCCTCAAGCATCTGGCAGTTTGTGGTTAATTTTCTTTTTGACATGACACTTTACAGGAGCAAGAGAAGAAGCACATGGGCCCAGACAACATCCCTACATTCTGTTTCACCTTCCAGGCAGGAATGAGTAATAGCCCTCTTTAGCGAGGGCTGCAAAACTGCATTTGGTGTCCTGAGCTAAACTTTTTAACCCTTGAGACAGTGCAACTGTTAGGTGCCTTGTGTCAAAGGACTATGTCAGAATAGAAGCAGTCTTAAGTGCTTACCTGGGACAGTAAGCTCCTGGCTTCTACCTCCAAAAAGCTCTGCACCACACAGCTCTGTAAGTATCGTCGTCTCCATGCCCTCCAGGCCTTTTCTATCAGCCGCTGCTGGTCCTGCCAGGAAAAAAGGCAGTACACAGATTAGATGGACTCTGGCAGCCAAACCACCTCGTTTCCACCTAGTTCCACCTTGTTTCCAGTTGCTTTCCCAGTGCCCTCTTGAACGACTTTGCATTGCTAACAAACAACAAGCAATGCTGGCTGCTAACAAAGCTCTCGCTGCATTACTGTCTACTGCAAATATTGTGGCTAATTAAGTTACAGTACCCTGGGGCAAGGCTGGTGCCCTTTTAAGAGACACCATGCAGCTCCTCAGTTAATATGTGCTACACATGTCACATCACCTTGTCCCACGGACAGGTTGGAGCACATCATCTCACAGAGGTAGTGCCCAGGAAGCCAGACAGATCATGGGTCTGTTCCACAGGGCTGGGGCCTGAGGAGAAGGGGAGACCACACGACATCCCTCAGCAGGCTGCAGATTCGAGGGATGCTCGGGAACACAGACTGCAGTACTTGCTATGGACTTTTTGCACAGGCTGCAGACAGTCTGAACAGATCATCCTGTCTCAGCTTCCTGTCTGTAAGATGGAGCAAAGCACAACTAAATAGCTGGGTATACCAGTTTGCCATGCAGGCTTTTAAAGAGAAATCTGGTAAAAATAGCCACAGGAACAAAAAGGGATTTCTCATGCACACCACATGTTAAATGCCCAGGTCTCACCTCCTGGCACAAAGTGAGGCTACAAGCAAAGCAGGCTTGCCCAGTAACATCCATCATTGCCACCCTCAGAGCAGTACCAGACACTCACCAATACTTGTGCCAGCATCACCACCCTGCTGGCTTCTTTCCATCGATGCCATCCCCTTGCCAGACAGTGCAGCCTCCTGCCACGCTGGCACCGGCGCAGCATCACTGTGCAATGCCACCACCTCAGATACTTCCTCCTATATTCAAGAAGAGTAAAATGAGCTTTATCAGCCCAACAGGGTTCAAAGGGGAGTCTTTATCTGGTGGCAGCACAAAGACAAAGCTCAGAGCCCTCCACTCCGCTTACCCAAGCCACTTCTCATCCCGCTCCTCAGAGTCCACCTCTGCTTTGTTCTCCTGGATCCTGGCATGTGCAGGAACAGGTCCTACCAAGCCATGTCTTTCTAGCAGCTGAGGGAGCTGCAGCCTTTCAGCTCTCCTTTGGTTTCTGTAGATCACCAGCCAACGGCGAACAGCACTGGGAAAAAGCCCAAAGGAGGAAGCAAGTGCTGAAGCCTTTTCTCTGCATCCTCTCCTTTCTAGCAAAGAAAAGAAGAATCACACAGGAGTTAACACTGGAGCCAGAGGGAGAGATCAGAGCTGATCATGAGCCATCAGGTCCTTTGTCCACTAAAACCAGAAGCAATTCACAGTCAATATTTGAATGCTTTGAGCACCTACTTCACAGAGAAATCCCAGTCATTTGGCTGGCAAACGCTGCTCCCCTTCCTCCACACTCACCCTCCCCATATGGTCCCATGAAAGGAAGAGAAAAGGAAGCATCTTCTTACTTAGGGACCAAGACAGAGACATCTTCCTGCTCTTCCTAGCACCTATCAGGGTACTGCATTGCCGTGAGCACTGGGAAAAGGCAGCTGTTTTTGTCCAGTAGCTGCAGGCCTGAAACAGAATTAACACAGCTGTAGCCAAGACTAAACACTTGCACGTACAGCACAGACACACAAACTAGCTTTAGAGGTACATTTATGTTCATAACCCTGCAGGTAGTTTAATGTGCTAGACCCCAGGCTAGAAACTGTACAGATGAGATCCCAGCAGGACTGACTCAGCCCTTCCAAATCAATCCAGCTCCTTGTGGTTTACTGGCTGTGAACCCTTTGAAATTGTATGCACCTCTGACAGCTCTGCCTGCTCTGCAGGGGCAGTGATTATCCTATCTCATCTTTGAGCAGAGAGGAAGGAGTGCACTTGTCTCTCTGGTCAAAATGTCCCCGCTCCTTAATGCTGTGATCCAGATGGTGGCTGCAATCAGTACCAGATTATGAAGTTGTGTGCACAGTCTGTGAAGAATTTCAAGGCAGAAACTAAGCAGTTGCCACAGTCACAACAAGTCCAAACAGGTTTTCTGATGAGCCCTGTCCATGCATCTCAGTGCCTAACAACCCCTCCGTAGTCTTCAGAAGAGAACAGGGAGTTCTTAATTGTCTCAGTGGGCCCTTCCTCTCCTACCTGTTTCACAGCAGCCACAGACCCTAGGCGGAAGGCTTGCCGTCCCCTCGAGGCCACTCGCCAACGGTGACAGGCTTTAGCCTGAGAACGTCCCTGCCACTCGTGGTCTCTCTCCTCTCTCAGCACCTGCTGTTTAGCTGTCAAGAATTTCATTCTCCACTCAGCAAAGCTTGCTACTAGGAGATGGTGCTCTTGGACTCTTCTGAAAAAAGAGAGGGCTTCCTGCTGCCTCAGTCTATAGGCAGTGACCTGGACCCAGATGATCAGGCACCTGAAAAATAATACAAACACAGAAAAGTGGCAGATACCCAAGGTCACATTTCTGATACAGCAGTGAACAGACTAT